TGAGCCCGGGCGGGGCGGAGAGGCTGCTCGGAAAGGAGCCGGCCCGTAGGGTGGCACGGCTGGACGCCCCCCTGGGGCATCCTGTGCAGGCTCCCTTTCGCCCACCACCTCGCCATCTGCCAGAAGGCAGCAGGTTTCAGCCTTGCCGGGAGCTCCGAGTCGTTGTCTGTGCTTGGTTTTGTTGGTTTTTTTTCCTATTGAGATTGGTTTCTCGCTGCAACAGCCGAGTAAGGTTTAGGGAGGTGTGGGGTGGCAGGCAGGTGTCATCAGAGATCTAGGAAGGTGTTTGCCAAAGCCGTGGCTGACACGGAGCATAGCTGGAACAGGCATATTTCCACAGATTACAGTCGTGTGTGGTGGAATTTCTTAAGTGAGTGTTTCAAATATGGCGAGGCACTGTAATGTTCAAATGTGAAAGCAAAATTGACTTGAATTTTCACATCCTCATTGGGAATGATCCTGGCAATTACAAAGTGACTAAAACCTGCACAGCACTAGCATGTTCCTTGGATGTCCTTGTGAGTCAGTATTAAGCTAACAACTCACAATAGTGCTAGAAGGCACTGCTAGTAGAATTGTTGTCTGTGGAATAATACCTTAATAAAAGGAAGACAAAAAAACTAATAGGGTATACTAAGTGTTCTGGCTTCCTGTCATTAAATATTCTAGCCTTCTGTGCATTTGTGGATGTGCTGTTTGGGGTGTCTAGGTAGACTGCTGCAATAGAGAAAAGCACTTGTCTCTCTAGTCATAGAATCATGCAGTGCTTTGGGTTGAAAGGGACCTTTAGAGGTATAACTTCAGTTATATGCTTATTGTTACTTTACTGCTTAATATAACTAATGTAAAATGATAGTGCAATATAGTAGTAGTAGTCATTAGAATGGGAACCTCTGCACTTCCACTGAAGGAACCTTTTTTGTTTCCGCTTTTGAAGAAAAGGATACTATGCAAATGAAATTTAAGTACAATTAACCACTGAAAATGTTGTATTTAAATAAAACACTTATTTAGTTTCTTAGTGATATTTTTTTCCCCTTGATTTTTTTCCAGTTCCCCAAGTGTGACCATAAAATATGATTCGTTGTCTGCTGCACCAAACTTAAGTACTTCTTTTGCCATTTGGTCACCTGGCTTCAACTACAATGGTAAGTTATGATTCAGGTAACACATTTTCAGATCTTTTCACTCCAGTCTGCTGTCTGTCTGGCTGATGAGGTGACTGCCATTAAAATTTCTCATTTTCTTAATAAAAATGATTTTTCTTGTCACTCCTGAGTTATGATATTTCTTTTTCAGGGATGTTTTTCTTCATAGCTTGTAAATACTTCTAAACACTAAGTCACTGTCTAGTGCATCATAGGAATTATCATATAAAACTAGTGGTGTGTTTTCTGTCATGACTGATGTTAGGCAGTTGAGGATGAAGTACAAATACTGCCTTCAGGTAGTATTCTTCTATACACAGGTGATGATACTGCCATGGGTTTTTACCTATTGTCAAGCAGTCAGTGAACTGAATGTCTGAAATCATGCAATTATCCCCTAGACCTATGTATTTGACATATTAATATAAACACCTAAACACTTCAATATTTTCATGTTTTGCAGTGGCAGGTTCTAATGAGTAATAGCATGTCAAGTGTTTGGTTTTTGGTTTTTTTGTTGTTTTTTTTTCCAAGAACAGGTACAAAATTTTGTATTAGAGACACTGTAGGTGAATGGGAAAAAGCCAGAGTATTTTTGCTGTATATTTCTTTGTTGTTACTGTAGCATGCTTTTCTCCCCTGAATCTTGTTCTAATGTATGAAATAACTAGTACTGCCATGTATTGGACGTCGCTCCTTTGCCTTCTGTTCCTTGAGGTTCGAGTAAAGGTATTTGCTTTCATGAACAGCTGATAGGGATGGGTTAAACTGAGGAAATAACACAAATATATATGTGGGAAGGGGTACCTATTATAAGTGTTTCTAAACTTTAATGAAGAGTGGAAGATTCTCCAAAACACCTCTCTATTTTTTTAATAGTATAGCCTAGATTTTCTGCTTGTCATGTCTAATTGTTTTGTTTAATATTTCTTATTACTTTCATGAGGTGTAATTTCTGTTCCTACTTTTAGTTCTAATTGCCTTTTGTTGTTCTAAGACTTTGTAATTTAGTCAAAACCTTGCACGTGTAGACAGTTGGTAATGGGATTAATTACTGTTGATGCAGTTACATGAGATTTTAGCTGCTAAGTTTAGTATGTGCTAAGGAATGTTTGAGCCCATCTTCTAACTATAAATTCCTATCAGTAGTAAGAGGTTTTGTAGTGGGTTTTATGTATGAGGATGTTCAAACAGTTAATGTACTTTCTAAAAAAAACCTTTGTAATTCTTTCAGCAACAAGCTTTAGAACTGGCATTGGATCGTGCAGAGGTAAGGAGTAGCTATGTTATTTGTTTGCATGTAGTATATTGGTTTCACAGTTGAAAAATAACTATTGTATTTCTATATTTCTTCTGAAAAGTAGCAGAGGAGCATGTTGTGTGTGTATAAATAATCATCCATACAAGTAACACTGGTTTTACAACATTCTTACTAAAATTGCTACATCGTGTATTTGTCTCTTACCCGTTGTACTGAGAACATCATCAGGTATAATGATGACAGACTATGTAGGACTTCAGTTTTCCCCTTTTAAACCAGCAAATCTATGTGCTGTGAAATAAGCAGAGCTGTTCAGTGGTGATCCAGAGGCAGCTGGCAGAAATATATGGCAAAACCCTGTTTGTGTTTTTAAGGGTAGCCCAGTTAGAACAAAGAGGCAAGTGCCTTCATATTCATGTTCTTTCATGCTGACATCTGATATAATGGTTACTGTGAACCCTGTTACGGGAAATACATGTTTCTGCAGGAGAATCTCTCTTCACTGAAATTCTTAACTAAGCTGTTAATCAAAATACTTAAGACAAACAATAGCAATTTGGGAAAACCTTGTTAGAATGTAAGCTACATTTAATGTAGGATGATATCTTCTTTTTTTTTTTTTAATTAAAGTATTTAAAGTACATGAATTGTATTTATAATATACAGCTCTATAGAGCAAACTAGCATAAATGCAAGAAACAAGGGGAAAATTAAGCTTCCTGAAGTTGGTTATGTTGAGGAATACTTGATTTATAAATATTGTTGAGCCAGTATATGTGAATTTGATTGTATCTTAGCATCTTAACTTCAGTATGTTACCACATTAACTTCAGTAGTGTTAACTACTACAGTAGTGTTATTTACTACTGTAATTGCAAAACATTAATGTAGAATCAAGACTTTGCATGCAACTCATGCCATAGCTGTGAAATGCCGTGTTTCACAACTAAATTGAGATGTGTCCTTGTTGGTGACTGTAACATACACCAGGTCTTTAGTACACTTTGGAAACAGTCATGTACCATAGCCATGAATTACTTTCTATATCCATAGAACACTGCCTGGTAATGATCTGAAGTTGCATGGTAGCTAGAATTAAAATTCTTTGTAATATGTGTGTTGTTTTTTGGTTTACTTTTCTAGTATATCATTGAAAGTGCCCGTCAGAGACCTCCCAAAAGAAAATATTTATCCAGTGGAAGGTAGTAAGAATTTTAGTATTTAGCTTTTAAATAGCATTTCTTTGATTTAATTTTGGTTATATTATAAGTTTTTTTTTAATTTCAGAAAATCTGTATTTCAAAAACTCTATGATTTATATATAGAAGAATGTGAAAAAGAGCCTGAGATAAAGGTAAGTAGAAATTGTTGAGAAGCTTTTCATTGCTGTCTGAACAGATAAATTCAGAAAGTGCTTTTTTTTTTATTTCACTTAACTCCTTTGTTAAAAAAAGAATAAATCCTGGTTACTGCAGTACTTACCTAAGGCTAACACCACAGGAGAAATGATTGTTACGACTTTTGTGGACTAAACCGCGTAATTTAATAGCATAATCTTAGTTCAGTTTGAAATAAAAATAAGGTCATGGGAGGGCCAATGGCTACTCAGTAAATCTGTTTTTAAAGGCAATTAGGTAGAATGCTGACAGAGAATTGTAAAGATTATGCTCTTGAGATGCTTTTCTAAATATGAAAAGAGAGAATTTCAAAAGAATGGTCTAGAATGCAGAGGAGTATCTAACAAGTTTATCAGATAACAGTACTATTAAAGTAACTGAGTGATATAATATGAATAGTAAGGCCTAGACTGGCTTGAGTGACCTGTTCCTTCTGACTTAATCCTCTGTCACTGAGGTTAGTTGTGGTCAAGTTCAGGGCCAGTGTTAATGCCACATGCATTGTCAGTATCGCTGTTTCAGAATCAGTTGCTTAGTGTGAATGCCATTGGAAAAAAATGTGGAGAATTTTTTAGAATCTGTAATTGTAAATTCAGATTTATTTCTTGGATATCTGCTAAGGCAGTTTGTGAATTTTTTCCATAAAGCTCAAACAGACTTAGCAACAATAAACCTAAGGTGTAAAAGGCAGAAGCTGCTTTGCTAAACTGTGAATAACAAACAGAATGAGAAGAACAAGCGTGGAGTCTGCTGTATAGCTGTTTCCCAAGGAAGTAAAAACCTATGAGAAGACAAATGGGAATGAGATATTAGTTACTGAGCACCTGTAATTCTTTTTAGTGATTCTGATGTAGTTGGTTTTATTTAGCATATGATGCTGATTCAAATCACAAATGTGAGTAAGGTGTTAAGCAAATTATAGAATTGAAAAGATTAAAATGTCAATAGTGAATGAGTAACAAGATATTTGAGCATCAGGGAGAAGATCGGGCTTGCTAGAATGGAATCTGGGGAAAAAAAAAAAGTAGGATTTCAATGGGATCCTTGTTGCTAAACTGGAAGGCACTCTGCAAACTTACCCAACTGTAATAAAGTAGTGAAGAGAGTTACAACATCACAGTAGATGAAGTGGATTATTGCTGATCTAGATTTGAGTAAAAATTGTAATTTGTTCTTTATTGAAGAATTGGAAGGTTATTATGATAGAAGAATTTGTATTTAGAGCCCTTACTCACTGAACGAAGATGTGGATAGTTAATAGGTATCTTGGTCTTATGCTATGGATTGTAATTATTGAAAATGAGAAGCTCAAAGATCGAGGTACAAAGATTAGAAGATAATGCTACTGTGAAACTTCATCCATGAGCATAGGACAACTTACTGGTCTCTTAATTTGCACAATAAAACTGATGAAGGAAATAGTATTCTGACTAGGGTTTGGCCAATGACTTGAATGTAGCTTAAAGGTTTTAGTGTACAGAACTGTCAAAGTTTCTATTCCAGTACAAGTTATGTTGTCTACTCGGAAGCAATTTTTAAATTGACACTGAATATTATTTTTCAGTCTTAACTTTTTTCCTTTATCCTAGCTCTTGTAATAATGCATCTCTCTCATGTTCCTGTTTTCTACCCTGCAGTTTACTTGGTCACTCATATACTGGGTCTTGGTGTTCACAGGGAAGACCAGATTTTCCACAATAATTCACAAAAGACTAATTATTCATCCTCTATTAGTCCAGTCTGCCCAGCTTCATTACTTCTCAGCATCTCTTCTGTTTGTGCATATGCACACTAGAGAGACAACTATGTTGAGGTGATTACCTAGAGCAGTTTGTTTCATTTGGACTTCAGCGTGCAGCATTCCTGTACCTAAAAGTTGAAAGAAATAAAAATCAAAACAGTAATTTTGGAAGCAGTCTTAAACATGAATGTGGAAACAGACCAGGTCTGTGGGCTGGAAGGATCTGTGGTAGGCAGGTAAATCTGAGGGGCTCTGATAAAAAAAAAAAATAAAATATATAATTGCTGATCAGTTGCCTATTCTCAGTTGGTGCCTTCTGACAGCTGCACATGGTAGTATCAGTGTGCGAGCATGAAAACATCTCAGAGTAATGAAAGCTTCAGAACGCTGTTAATGAAAGTCACTTGAGTGCAACATTGGACTAGTGCCAAAATAGTAAAGCACGTACTTTGCTGTAAAAGTACTTCTAAGAGATACGCTGGTAACTGTGGGAAATGAGTAATGGCGATATATGAATAAACCAAATGGTGCCAGATAACAGTGGGGCAGGGGTTTATTTATTTTGGTGGGATTTCTTTGTCCTTGAATAATCTCTAATGGTGATGAATGATATGCAGGGTTGGATATATTTGGGAAATTGTGTAAAACATCGTATTGCATGCATCTTTCTATTCTTGAAGAAAATTTAACTACCTTTCATGTGTAAGGTGAGGAAACAATTGACTGTAAGAATGCACTTAAAGTAAAGCTAACTTCATCAGGGTGAAACAAGCAGACTTTGTTCAGACCACAGCATTCCTGAAGTTTGATCTGCAAAAACTTCCCTTAGGTGTTGCTTATGAAACAAATGTTTTCTTGCCTCCAATAAAGAGGCTGCATGGTCCTTGTCTTTATGAGATGCATCAATACTAGTCTCTATTAGAATGGCAGCCTAAAGATTGACACAACCAGTTATATCCTAGTGGAAGTATACTTAGTTACGAGTTGCAGTCTTCTCTCAGGATCTGATTTTGGTTCAGCTAGGTCACAGACATCTTTAAGCTTCAGTTTATTCCACCAAAAAATGATGCTTCCCCAAGTTGCTTTAGTGAGTTGGGTTTTATTATTTAGTCAATATATACAAAACTTCGCTTTGCTTTTTCTGCTTCCTGAAAGAACAATGCTTAGCATTGTTCATGAAGTTAATTTTCAAGTGGTTAATAGCTCTACTGAAGTTGAGACAAAATTCTACCTTCCGAGGTGCATCTTCTATGCATTTGTAAAGTGGTGCTGGGATTAATGGAACGTGTCCAGAAGGAAGAACTTGGGGTGGTTGTTTTAGATTTCCTTTCCACAGAGATGTAGTACATAGCTACAAGAGCTTTTTTTATGGAGGTGATCTGTTTATTTTATGGGTTTTGACCAACTTTTCAGTCTTAAAGGTAAGTGGGAAAATCGATTTGGATGCTACAGTGAGGGACAAGAAAAGCAGTGATGATAAATATAAAAAGTTTTGTGTAATACCAGCGCACCATTGGAGGAGTAGGTATTAAAATTAACATTTCGCTCATAGCTGGGGACGGAGGAGTAACAAATACAGCATAAAATCACTACTTCAGTCTTGTTAGGCAGGAGTACTCCGTATTCTTTATTCAGTGGTAGTCATCAGAAGTCACTGGGAATGAAAGCAAGCACCCATGCCTGCTCTGTGCTGCTTCCCAGCCATCACGCAGTCACTGCGGTGCGTGTTCAGGAGGGAGGAGTACCACTTTTCTGTGGATGAAGTCAGAGGTTTAGGAGTTTTAGCTGATGTGACAGAGCAGTATAACTGGCCTGGTTGCTTGGTATGTGAGCTCTTGCAATACACTGCAATGAACGCTTAAGAAATGTAATACACCTCAGGCCACTCCTTGATTTTTAAAATCTTTCCATACAAGACCTGAGCTAATGCTTGGGATCAGCTCTGAGCTAGTATCTCTAATACCAGCTCAAAGGACAAAATTATTTTTGTAGTCATAAAAAATTTTCATGCTTAGTGAAATGTAACTTTACCTGCTTATTGAAATGTTTGTACTTAAAATGCTAATTTACTCCAATGTCTTAGAGAGGCTTTGTATTTTAAAATACGCTTAGAATATGTCTTAAGAAGCTCAGGTCATATGAATGCAGTGTCAAAAATGTTCTTAGGCCTGTGGTGGTGTCCTCTCCTATTTCCTTTGCCTGTCTTCCCCCTTCAACATCCTAACCCTGAAAAAAGAAGAAAAACAAAAAAAACCCAAAAAAAAAACCCCAAAACCCAAACTATAACTGGTCAACTATTATTGAACAAAACCTAAAATTTGAAAAATAAAACTAATGTAATTCAGTGAATACATTTAAATTAGAGAGTAATGTGATTAACTCAATTTAATTATAATTACAATTGAATTACCATTGTATATTTTACTTCTGAGGTGTTTAAGGAGCAGAGGCCTTCCATAAAAATAAATCTCCTGGCTATTTCCTGCATGCATAGACAGATTTTGGGAGGAAAAAAGATTACTTGCTTATTTAAAAGTTGTACGAGTGGTTACTAGTTAGTATAAACTATTCAGTGTCTGTATTTTGAATTGCCCTTTATTGAATAATCCTTTTGCTTCAGCTCATGCAAATAGTGAAGCTGACTTGGAAATGTTATAGTAACAAATTCTAGAAGCAGTATTAATTCTGTCCCAATGATAGAGGAATGGAATTGTGGGTTTTTTTATTACTTTCTTTTTTGTTTCTAAATATAACTTTAGTATAAATAATTAATTTCTTCTTAACCTCTCTTATAGAACCTGATGATCTTTTTTAAATTAACTCTTACAGAATTCTCATTTCTTTCTGTCCTCCCAATGCCATTGCATAATTAAATATGAAAGTACTAATCTATCCAACACCGTCCAACCAGAAGGTGTAAAATTGAGGTTTAGAATTCGTTGTTTTTAAGTTCTCAGGAGGCTTTAAAAATGTTTACATTTGTAGGATGTACATGGGGTCTTTGAAACATACTAATTAACTTTAAACATCTCTTAGGTGTGGAAAAGATCATTCATAGAATTAAAAAAGGGAATGTCTCTGCAGCAGCTAGCTCAGATTATAGCAAATACAGACAAGGCAATGCAATTAAGAGAGCTTCCAAATGCTGTAATTTCAGTATTTTAATCCTGGAAAGAAATATCTGCTTCTCGTAGGAATATTTGAAAGTACTGAGTATTTTGTTGTATCAAACAATGTATAGTGTATAAATGATGTTTACAGAAATGATACAAATAATAGTGTACTGTAGATTTACAACATTGTAGCATAGGGTCATTCTTGTTAACTCTGCCATCTGTGGTCTTAGAATTCAAGTTTTTCTTTAAATGAGTGAGTTTTTTAAAAAAATCTGTGTGTGTAAGTATGTATAATAATACATAACGAATATACTCTGCTGAATGCAATCCAATTAAATTTAACTGGGCTTGTTTCGCTCTGTACTTCAACATTAATCTAAATAGTACTTATTCTAGCAATTGTTTTTATTGCTACTAGTTACTTGATAGTATTATGTTCATAAGCAATGTTTACTTTTAAAGCAGAAGCTGAGGCGAAATGTGAATTTACTTGAGAAGCTGGTTATGCAGGAGACGTTGTCATGTCTGGTAGTGAACCTCTATCCAGGAAATGAGGGTTATTCACTTATGCTCAGGGGAAAAAATGGTTCAGGTAATATTTTTTGCTATTTATTTTTAAAAATACTTGGAATGCTCTATAAATACTTAGAATGTGTTGTTGCTTACATTTAGCTGTTTCACTTCTAACATAATCCCTTGTGGGGGAAAAAAAAAACCCAAATGTACTTGAACTGAAAATTTGCATAAAGCTATGATGGGCTTAGGAACAGTTTCTAACAGTGCAGCCTAAATCAGTAGATATGAGACTTTTTGATAGCCTCCCATTCTTTTATTTACCCTTAGCTTCCCAAGTTGCTTATCTGAGTTTCTGTTGCTTCAGGCTCCTTCTGTCAAATTGTTTCTTTCTTTGTTTGCTAAATCTAGGTCTCACTAAAGGCATCTGTGTTCCAGTTTAGTTGCATCTTCACTCCACTGGTACTGTGACGTGCAATAAGAGTGTTCAGTATATCAGCTGGGAGTAAAGATTTCGTCCCATTGAGCTATAAACGCATGTTGCCTTTTGGCACAATAAGAGCAAAATCAAGCTCTGGGAAGAGAAATGGATGTAAAGAATTAATACTATGCAAAAAAAAATGCCTGTTTGGATAGGTTTCCACCAGCCCTGCTTTTTCCTGTCGCAAGCTTGTTTTAGATTTCACATTGTTGCAGTTTGACCTTGAAAAGTAAAAGAAAAACAATGTGTTTTGTTTAAATTCAGATTCTGAGACCATTCGGCTGCCTTACGAGGAAGGAGAGCTGCTTGAATATTTGGATGCAGAGGAGCTACCACCCATTTTGGTTGATCTTTTAGAAAAATCTCAGGTTTGAAAGTTTTGTTTTCAGAAAGAACTTATGTTCTGTACCCAGATAGACCTTGGTTTTTGTTTTTAAAGCTTCACAGAGGTGATTCCAACCACAAGATGTAAAATATTTGTGCATTTGGAACTATAATATTTAATGCCCCAAATAAATATTTTTATTGACATGTAGGAAAAAAAAATACTGAGGAGACAGGGATAGAAAAGAGATTGCTATGGTTAAGGCTGCCAAACAATTTCAGCTCTGTTCGAGCAAAATATCCTTTGTTCTTTGTCATTATGAAATATTTGATGTGGGAATTTCTTAAAACTACATTGCTGGTGTAGGAAAACACTACATTTGAAGCTTGTATTTTAGGTATGTCTAAGTATGCAGTAAAGAACACTGGTCTGACAAAATTAGTGATTAGTTTTATTCATAGCATCACTGAATATATGATATGATATCTGTAACAAACTTCTTTTTGGAGGCAGGGGCTGAGGCACATTGATAAATACTTGTGTATTTACAAGTTGGGTTTTTCTTTCAACTAGGTTAATATTTTTCATTGTGGATGTGTCATAGCAGAAATACGTGACTATAGGCAGTCTGGTAACATGAAATCTCCAACGTACCAAAGCAAGCACATTCTTTTGCGTCCTACAATGCAGGTAAGAAGTGTTTTAAGTCATTCCTCACTGTTACAGTAGTTCCTAGACTGGATATGAGCTATTACTGAACATATGTTGGGGTTTAACCCGGCAGGCAGCTAAACACCACACAGCCATTTGCTCATCCCCACCAATGGGATGGGGGAGAGAATCAAAGATGGAGGGGGAGGGTGGGGAGAAGGGAAGTAAAATTCATGGGTTGAGATAAAGGCAGTTTACTAGGACAGAAAAGGAAGGGAAAATAATAATAATAATGATAATAGACTATACAAAACAAGTGATGCACAGTGCAATTGCTTACCACCCACCAAACAATGCCTAGCCAGTTCCTGAGCAGCAGTTGCCACCCCACAGCCAACTCCCCCCAGTTTATATACTGAACATGACGTCATATGGTATGGAATAGCCCTCTGGGCGGTTGGGGTCAGCTGTCCTGGCTGTGCCCCCTCCCAGTTTCTTGTGCACCTGGTAGAGCAGGGGAAGCTGAAAAGTCCTTGACTTAGTCTAAGCACTTCTTAGTGACAGCTAAAACATCAGGGTGTTATTAACATTATTCTGATGCTAAAACCAAAACACAGCACAATGTCAGCTACTGGGAAGAAAAGTAACTCTATCCCAGCCAAAACCAGGACAATTTGTTAAGAAATCTTACTATTTGCTTGAAAGCTAATTACCATTATGTCTTCTTTCTTAGACTTTAATTTGTGATGTGCATTCTATAACAAGTGACAACCACAAATGGACACAGGTGGGTTAGCAGTTATTTTAAAACTTTACAGTGATGCGGTAAATGCACAATAAAAGAAAATAAAATTTATTTGAATTATTTATTTGTTTAATAAAATCTGATAAGCAAAACTGGTTATGTTTTTAATTCATTCAAATTGTCAGTAATGTGCATAGTGCTGCATGGGATGTGCTCCAGAGAGCTGTCAAATTAACCTGTTAATAGCATCTTCCCACAAGATGCCATAGAAGATACAGGATTTGCTAAAAGTTTTGTAGGATCAGACCTTAATTTTTGGTAATGCAGAATGACAGTATTGGAGTTACTCTAACTGGTTTACCTTACTTCATTCATATTCAGCATACATCCCCAGAACAGCAGTTGGAGTCTAATGACACAATTGCTCCTCTAGCATCATTTTGCTGTTCATACTGTTACAGTACAGAGAATCCTAAGTAACTATTGTTGTGCAGTTAGTTAAACGCTGAATAGCATGGTGTACTCAATGTGCTCATTTGTATTTCAGAGCCACAGTCATGCTCAATTCCGTTTCAGGTTGTAATCTAAAGTCCCAGGTAGATCTTTAAGGCACTGATTGCCAGTCCATGAGTATAAATCACTGACAGAAAATGGATTTAATTGCCACTAGTACTGTGTTTAAAACAGAGAAAGAAAACACAAACAAACAGAACATGCCCTCTACTTTTCAGAAGGTTTTATTTTCCTATTGGAAACCCTACCCAAAGCTCTGTAACTCATAATAATGGTTAGTGATACTTAACTGTTAAATATTTTCTTTTGTTGACTATCCACACACAATTTTTTTCAGTTTTCTTTAAGATAATTCATACATATGCGTAGGTGTATGTCAACTTAATTAGTGTAAAAGTCTTCATATTTTTACATTTATTAATAGCTGTATATATTACAGGAGGACAAACTCCTACTTGAGAGCCAACTTATTTTGGCTACAGCAGAGCCTTTGTGTCTTGATCCTTCAATAGCAGTAACCTGTACTACAAACAGACTCCTGTACAACAAGCAGAAGATGAATACTCGCCCTATGAAACGGTAGTTTTCAGTGTGAAGCGTGTTGAGACTTTCTTTGAAATTTTATGAAGTGTTTCAAAGAAAAATACAAGGAATGCTTTACAAGAAAATTTTGCTTCTCATATGCAGTGTTCAAAGTAATATCTATTTAGATATTAGGAACGTGAGGAACAGTCAAGAAATTGTATCTTATTTTTAAGTGCTCAATATTGTACTGTATTTCAATGAGTAGTAGATACTGTAATATTCTTATTTTCCTATATCAAAAGAATGTGTATATATTACTTCCTTAACATAATACATTATTGCAGTTTTGATTTTGTCCTTTTTTTGCATAATTCAGATGTAAGCTGAGTCAGATGGCAGATTAGGAATGTAAAATATATAAATGGATACATTTCATTTTGGTCTCTGATTTGTTAAAAGCTGTGTAGAAATTTAACCTTGAATGAGGAAATGAAGGGATTTATTTATATGCTTGACATTTAGGCTAAACAGAAGTGTAGTCATATTAGAATCTTAGAAAACTTAGAAGTAACGTGGAATGCGCTATATAGAAAATATTGAAATTGTTTCACTTTTGTGCATGGTTATTCACTTTCTTCCACAAAAGCTTGAAATGGTTCACATTTGTTTTACTAAAAGAGCTGTATTCACTCTGTAGAATGAAAATGTACTAATGGCCTGTCAGAATTACTGAAATATTTAAAACTAGATTTGCATTGAAATACTATGCTAATGTACAAACCAGTGGTAATGTCTAAAAAAGTATAAATAGTAAAATTGATCAAGCTGTCCTTAAAATTAGAGCTTGGTGGTCAATAAACTTTCCACTAGAAAAATAGGCAAAGGTGTTAAATGAATGTTCAGAACAGCATTAACGTACCAACGGGTTTAGCATGAGACAAGGAATAGAGGGTAGTTATTGTGTTTATAACTTTATAGTTAATAAGCAGTACACAGATCTTTTGACAGAAATGAAATCTGGATAATATAGGAGTATTTTAAGCTTGGTAACTTTTCAGTTAGTTACTCATTTTGACAATGTACTTCAATTATGCATTTCAAAACCAATCCCATTCTTAGTGCTGAAATACATGAACAGAGTACTAGTATTTTTAAAAAATATGAAATCAAGGGTTTGAGTTTTACAGTGTATTCCAGAATAGCAATTTTAAATTATTATTTCAAAACCTGTTTTTTAGTCTCAGTGTAAGTAGCATTCCGCTGCATATTTTTGTGTTTGTAGACAGGCGGTGGAGAATTCCATTTTGATGGTTTCACAAGCTTATCTGTCATTTTACCATAGGTGCTTTAAAAGGTACTCAAGGTCGTCTTTGAACAGACAGCAGGAAGTAGCTCACTATTCAACTCCACCTCAGCTCAGACTACTTGACTACTTACAGAAAAGAAAGGAGAGGAAAGGAGCCCAGCAGTATGATCTCAAAATTTCTAAAGCTGGAAATGTAAGTGTTCAGAGATATAGGTGGCCATACTTCTACTATTTATTTAAAACATTTAATACATTAATACTGCTTTTTCATCTTCCAGTGCGTAGATATGTGGAAACAGAACCCTTGCTACTTGACTGCACCTTCTGAAGTGGATGTAAGTCCAGTTGTTACCATTAGCAATTATTAGCAATTGTATTGAACATTGTATTGTATGAAGAAGTGACTAAAGAGTATCCAGTATCAATGAATGGCCTTTAAAAAGTGGGAGTGACTTTAGTGTTGAAAGTTACTTTTCTGTACTGTGAGGTATAAACACAAGCTAAACCACACTGGAATACATTGCAATTGTAACATGATAGTTTGCATGAGATAAATGGTGCAAACAGACCTTTAGTGTTGTTCATCTGTATCCAGTGAGCATATCTGTTTGAAGTTGTCTCATAATATAAAAAATAGAAAAAGAAATGAGGTAAGGACATTATTTAGAACGAGTCACCTCTCAGCTTGGTAGAAATTCCTCTTTTTTGACATGTTATGTGTTGTGGTTTAAACCCAGCCAGCAGCTAAGCCCCGGTGTGCAAGCAAAGCAGGGAATTCATTCATTCCTTCCCACCAGTAAGCAGGTGTTCAGCCATCTACAGGAAAGCAGGGCTCCATCACGCATAATGGTTACTTGGGAAGACAAACGCCATCACTTCAAACGTCCCCCCATTCCTTCTTCTTCACCCAGTTTATATATGTCATATGGTCTGGAATAGCCCTTTGGCTAGTTTGGGTCAGCTGTCCTGGCTGTGCCCCCTCCCAGCTTCCCATGCACGTGGCAGAGCATGGGAAGCTGAAAAGTCCTTGATGAGTTTTATTTGTTAAATAGTGTTTAGGCATCAGTGTGTTATCAACATTCTTCTCATACTAAATCCAAAACACAGCACTATGCTAGCTACTGGGAAGAAAATTAACTCTGTCCCAGCCAAAACCAGGACAGTATCCACCCCTTATTCCATACCATTTATGTCAAGCTCAGGTCCCACCACTATCATTAAGCACCACCCCCTTTCCTATCATTTGATATAATACAGAGATACAGTTCCCTTAGTCTGTGGACCGCCCTTGTAAAATGTCCACAAAATGCCCATTGAGTTCATTTAGTCCGTGACTTTAGGCTCCACCCGTTACAGTGGCCACTCAGGATAAGAGAGATGGCGTGTTGTGTGGAGTTACTGGGCACCAAAGCCAGCTCAGGTCAGGTCACTGCTTCACTTGCACTGCTTCTTGTAAGGCTTGTCGCCCATTGGTTCAGGTGGTTCGTGCTATAGTAATTCCTGTAACACTCAGCTCAAATCATGGGTTACAACAATTTAAAAGTATATCCATTGCAGTCTCCACCCCTGGTCCCTCTGGGCCAGCTTATAGGGTTTAACATTGTAATGAACTCCTCCCCTTGCCCCTGCCCTGGCTTGGACTTATCCACAGACTCTAGTCTCTTAAGGCTGTACCCGCTCCAAGTGGAGCCTTATCTATGAGCCACTGTCTCTCCAGAGGTATACCTGCTGTTTCATGGACTTATCCACAGCTGCAGTTGCTTCAAGGTGCACCTGTTCCAGTGTGGCCTTCTCCATGGGCCACAATGCCTTCGGTGATATACCTGCTCCAGTGTGGCCTTACCCACAGCCACAGTCCCTTCAGAAATGAACTTGCTCCAGCATGGCCCTACCCATGGCTGTCATGCTTACCTTGCTCTGTCATGGGCTTATCTGTGGCCACACACTCTGAGGTGCTCCAAGGTGTATCTTCTCCAGCATAAACTTACCTTGGGCCACAATCCTTTTAGACATATACCTGCTGTGGCACAGGCATAACCACAGCCACAGATGGTGTAGGGTGTCCTGCTCCCGTGTGGACTCATCCCCAGGTCTCAGTCCCTTTGACTTGAGTTCACACTGGAGTTCCAGCCTGTCCAGTACAGCAGCACAGAAACAGCAGCGATGTCCTGGCCATCTGCCAGCCCAGGCACATGGCTATGGCTGTTCTCAAAATGTTCCCAGGCACAGCGGAGCAAGATGACAAGCAGTACAGCAGCACAGCAAACAGCGAAAGCAGCCACTAATGAACACTAGACTCTTAATATACAGTAAGGGAAGCAAGCTCCATGGCAAGCACAGGAGCCTGTCCATTAATAGCCAAACAGCAATAATAGCTATAAATTCAATCTAGCACGTTCCAGCTGATCCTGTCATTATCTCAAACCACTCAAGCCCCACACTGGGTGCCAAAAAGGACTGTCATGGTTTAACCCCAGCCAGTAACTAAGCACCACACAAGGTGCTTGCTCACTCCCCGCCCGGCCTCGACAGGATGGGGGGGAGGATAACCCAGGCAAAAGTGAGATAGTTTAATAGGGAAAGCAAAAGCTGCACACACAAGCAAAGCAAGGAATTAATTCAGTACTTCCCATGGGCAGGCAGGTGGTCAGCCATCTCCATGAAAGTAGGGCTCCATCACACGTAACGGTGATTTGGGAAGACAAACGCCATCACTCCAAATATCCCCCCCCTTCCTCCTTCTTCTTCCCCAAGCTTTATATGCTGAGCGTGACGTCATATGGTGTGGGACATCCCTTTGGTCAGTTTGGGTCAGCTGTCCTGGCTGTGTCCCCTCCCAGCTTCTGTGCACCTGGCAGAGCATGGGAAGCTGAAAAGTCCTTGACTGGTGTAAGCACTGCTTAGCAACAACTAAATCATCAGTATGTTATCAACATTCTTCTCATACTAAATCCAAAACGCAGCACTATGCCAGCTACTGGGAAGAAAATTAACTCCATCCCAGCCGAAACCAGGACATTATAATACTATGGGACATAATATTTTCAGTAGTTTGGTTTTTAGACAAGAATTCTAGTTGGGAATTCTTCTGATCGCTCTGTGTGCATTCTTCTGTCAGGCACATTCACATTCTCTGTTTTCTGGCACTGCCAAAGCACATATTTCTAGCGTACAGGAAGGACTCAATTGACTCAACAAGCTTGTAGCTTTGCAGTTAATAGGGCTGGCAAGAGTGCACACTAGGCATCAAATGATGCTGTAAGTTTGTACAAACATTCTCTCCCTTTGCACTTCAACAGTGTTGTACCTGATCTAATCAGAGTCTTCAGGAGTTACTGGTATTGTCCAATTTCTTAACCATGTCACATTGCAGGCTGTGATTTCAATCTGTAGACTTAAGGCATGTTTTGCACTTTTGTTAAGTTTAACATAGCAAATACGGTGTAACAGAATAAACGTAAAGTTCTGAAGGTTCTCCAGTTCACTTTTTCTGAATACATAAAACAAAGGGGGGATGCTGTACAAAGTATTAAGCTCTCCTTGTCTGTTTTTTGCACTTACTTTTAAAGACTATCGTGTTAGCCACTGTTAAAAACAAGAAACTGTGCTAGATTGACTTTAACTCTGGCCCAGTATGACTATTGTTCTTTGTTCTCTGACATCTTCGTTTTCTTTAAGGTGGAAAAATATGCCAAAGTGGAAAAGTCTATCAAGCCTGATGACTCACAGCCAACTGTCTGGCCAGCCCATGTGAGTAGTTGAGACCTTTGGCCAAATTTCTCTGTCTTCAGTTAAAATGCCTCTTATTGTAACAAAATCTAAGTAACATGGGAATAGTCTTCCCCAATTTAATTAATCTTCCATGTGTTATATAGGCACAGAAAGATTACCAGAGATACTTGTAATTTAATACAGTGCAGCATGCATGTGATCAGTTTTGTAATTTCCTTGTGTTTTCCAGAAATACAAGGAAAAGCAACTTTAATCTCCCAAGTAACATGTACTGTTGCTGTATAGTATAGATAGTATAATAAGTTACAGGGAGCAGTACTCTGCTCAACAGATTGCTTTCTTCACTCAGATACTCAGAAGACTGATGGAAAAGAGCTTCTGTTAAAATCAAAACATTAAATTTGGAAAGAGATTAAGTAAAATTAAATACCTCTTACAAAAAGCTCTTTCTGCAGTGTTTAAGTTGAACCTTAAGATTTTTGGCACAAATTACACGATATGATAAGAAGTACTCAGTATAATTAGTCGTAAATCAATTCATAATACCTTACCTCCGAAATTTTAAAGACTTCATCCTCAGTAACAGCATCGATCGTGATGTCTTTGTAGTTTCATATTAGCAAAAAGTAATGCTTTCCCATAGAACTCAATCTTCATCTCCAAGGTTTTACTCAGAACATTTTTTTGCATTGTCATAATTTATATAAAACTTTCTGTATATGTTTACCCAGTCTGCCTTTCCATGTCTAACATGATTGTTTAGGGTCTGCAATATTTTTGTATTTTTAAGAGATGATAAACACGTCTTCCTCTCATCCCTGTAGATAACTTCTCAAATCACTTTCATTTTAGATAATGCACCCCTTCTTAATAGAGTGTTTCTTACCGTATTGTATAGAACTGGCATATTTTACTAGCTGTTTCTGTTATCAATTGTTTAAGACTTATTTGGTTATTTTCTTCTGTCTTTTTAGGAAATAAAAGATGATTATGTGTTTGAATGTGAAGTTGGTAATCAGCTTCAAAAAACAAAACTGACCATTTTTCAGTCTCTTGGCAATCCCTTGTACTATGGTAAAATTCAGACACTCAAAGGTGATGAGGAAAATGACAACCTATTAACTCCATCACAGTAAGTTACACGTTCTTTTAAACTGTGCTATGATCTGCAAGATTAAGGAAGACAAACATTACTTATCATTTTCAGTCATAAAAATACTCTAGAGCTACAAGTCTGAGTCTCGTTTGAAAAGTTCAGCTAATGAACCTAAAATGTTTTTAGCAAAAAATACCAAACCAAAATGTGTTCAAGCAACCATCATATCTTAAATGTACTTTTATGTTAAATCTGCATGTTCTTTTATATTAAACATATATTGTAAAACAGAACAAAACATAAGAAAAACCCCCAACAACTCAAAATGTGGAGACGCCGTGAGACATTGTTAGCACTCTTTTTTCAGTGTTACTCATAATTTTGACTGTTGTCAAAATCTGCCTGATGCTGTGAAAAAATAAGACTTCATTAGATTTTGTTTACCCTTATGAAAAAAAGTTTAGGCTAAATAAATGGTGAAGAAAAACGCGTTCCTAAGAAGCTTTGCCATATTGAATTGATTTGAATCTGCTGTTGTTGGCTGTAGTTCTACAAAGATTCTCTATTCTTGTCTCTTTTTGTCATGTGTACCAGATTCTTTGTATGGAGGAACCTGCGCAGCAGACTAGTCCCTAAAAATTTCAGTAAAGCAAGGAGCAGTGAGCCTGAACAAACTTTAGTTCTGTTAATGAAAGTTATTTATATTGTCTAGTATGTAATTCCTATCTTATTTTTTATTGAAATTGTAAAATCTTCCTGAGAGTCAGGACGTTTTATCCCCAGACTGAGCTATTTACTGTTTGTTACCATACTGTTGTGGTTTAACCCCAGCTGGCAACTAAGCCCCACACAGCTCCCTGGGGGGGGTGGGGGAGAGAATCCAAAGGGTAAAAGTGAGAAAACTCATGGATTGAGATAAAGACAGTTTAATAGGTAAAACAAAAGCCATGCACGAAAGCAAAACAAAACAAGGGGAATTCATTCACTCCTTCCCATGGGCAGGCAGGTGTTCAGCCATCTCCAGGAAAGCAGGGCTCCATCACACTTAACAGTGACTTGGGAAGACAAACGCCATCACTCTGAATGTCCCTTCTTCCTTCTTCTTCCCCCATATGCTGAGCATGACGTCATATGGTGTGGTATATCACTTTGGTCAGTTGTGGTCAGCTGTCCCGGCTGTGCCTCCTCCCAACTTCTTGTGCACCCCCAGCCCACTTGCTGGTGGGATGAGAAGCAGAAAAGGCCTTGACGCTGTGTAAGCACTGCTCAGCAGTAAGGAAAACATCCCTGTGTTAATGCTGTTTCCAGCACAAATCCAACACATAGCCCAGTGCTATGAAGAAATTTAACTCTATCCCAGTCAGAACCAGCACAGATACTTGGTACTGATCTTCCTGGAACACAGTGCTACCTTACAGCTGTGTAATAAGGCTGGGAATTAAAGGGATTTATAGGTTTTTAGATGCCTGGGGTTTTTTTTGAAATCACTGCTCCAGTCCATTATTTTTAAGACATTACCAATTGAAGTTCATGGAAATTTTGATACTTCCTCAGAAAACAACATCCTATGTAGTAAAAGATGCAGAAAGCATTTTTGTTGTTCTGCTGTAAAATAAAATCTTTTTTTTTTTGAGCTAGAGAAAGAGAAAAGAGCTGTAGTGTTTAAAAAGAATCACTGAAGTAACAAGCTTGCAAGCCATAAGCATTATGCAAAAGAGAAAGCCATAAGCATTATGCAAAAGAGAAATGCTTATTTAGGAGTTCTGGAAAATCATGAGGAATTAGGATTTACGTAAATGAAATCAAACGATGAAAACTAAATGTTTGTTAAAATACTACAGTTAGGGCTGGTTTTGACATACCCACAGGGTATTTATATTTCAGTGCAGGCGTATTGATATGGTAATTTATGCATAACTTTTCCCTCACACTTTTTACAGTAGCAATTATGTAGCAGTTATTCACTTGATTTTTTTGAAATTATAAAATACTGTGCTGGTTTTGGCTGGAATAGAGTTAATTTTCTCCTATATTCTGCCTTTTGCTTTGTTGGCAATTTACTCTTAAAGGAGACCATATTAGACCATGTGTGTGTCTTGTGTATATATATAGTTATGAATAGTTATAGTTTATTTCAAATACTAAATGATACCCAGTCCATTAAATGTATACAGTATCTCTTGTATTTTCAGCAGGTCTAAAAAAAGAGCAGCACTGATACTCGTTCGAAGTTTTGTGATGATAAAAACATATTCTTTTAGCCCAATTCATGGCTGAAAATATGTTATAAATTTTGTGTTTCAGGTTCCTTATTGGTTCGAAGACTGATGCCGAAAGGTAAATTAATATAGTATGTACAACCATTTGGCTTTGTGCCAAATAGTGAATTTTGTTCCTTTTAGCCATTATGACTGCTAATGTTGTGGTTATGGAAACAGATGCAGAACAGATGAGGAAAATAAGATGAATTAATAATCGTAACAAGAAGTAGGATACAGTGTGCATTTTTTGTATGTAACAAGCAAGGAAGACTAGAGGAAAGCAAATACGTGAATACAGCTTGTCCCACTACCTAAATTTCAAGTATGTTGCTACAGTTATTTGCACAATTATTCTTGATTACACAGGCAATAATAAAATTCTGAGAGCACTTAGCAGGAATTTCATCTTGACATTTTGTAATGGTAGATTAGCAATCATGGAAATTGTTCATTTGAACTCTTAAGTGTAATCTAAGACTTGTATATATACAACTTATTTTTGTGTGTTATATATTACTTGATTCAGCTTTCTTAGAGAAGCAAGAAACAAAACAGCTTTTCAGTATGCATTAGTTGTAGAATGATTATGAGTAACAATTCTGGGATAGCTGAGGCATTCCTTCAGATGTTTGTCAGTGTGTATCACATTACAGACACCTGTCTGTGCATATGAGCACAGAACCTTTAAAAAACAATCTCTGTCAAAGCCAGTTGTGGTTTTGTGCCTTCGTAGGAGACCTCAAGGTGATGTGCATACCATAGCTCTTGCCCCCCCATGCCCCCCCTTCTTGTGTGTCCTTGATTTGGGCAAAAGTCAAGAATAATGTTTGTTGTTTTAATAGATAATTTTGATCAAGAAACCCTTTGCTTATGTTCTCTTCTGTCTCTGTTGTGCTGATAGAGACTTTTGCTGTTTGTGCTGTAAGCTGAATTGGGCGATTGGTTGGCTGAAAACTAAAACCACCATAATACAGGGGTCCAGTTTTTAACTGGGATTGCTTTCCTGATCATATTTGCCGCTGGGTTGCATAAATCCTTCAATCAGAATAAGCAGTTGGGTTTCAGGGACTAGGACAAGAAGAAGCAGTAGAGGAGGAGGAGGGAAAGACAACAGCGATTAAAGGAAAGTTAAAACGGGATAAATTTAAGAAAAGAGAGCAGGAGCATGAAGTAGAAAGATATATAGAGATATAGATATGTTTTATCTATGTGCATCTGTTTTTATATAGATACATACTTAAATAATATATACTTATGTATAAAATAAATAAAATATGGCTACATAACATATACAATTACATGTTTACATATACAAATCTACTTCAGAAGTTCGAAGTTGTTAATTTTTTTATGCCCTCATTTGTTTCAGAGTGGTGAACCAGTATCAGGAGTTAGTACAAAATGAAGCTAAATGTCCTGTGAAAGTGTTTCATAATTCAGGTGGATCAGTCAATCTTAGTCATCTTTCTCCAGGAAAGGAAATGGAAGTGAGTTTTTCAAGCCATAAATTTCTTTTATTTGCACTTGATTATTGAATTAGAATAATTTTTGCTATCCACATTTAAAAGTAAACTAACCTAAAAAGTTCTTTCTGAATGGATTTTTAAATACTTTATTGCCGTAATCATTCAGAGTGAGTATATTGGAAAAGTTAGAGGAAAGCACTTTTGTTTTCACTGTTCAAATATTGTGGTTTTTAACCATGTAATTTTTTTTTCTTAGCCGTGTATAGTATAGTTAGCTCCAAGGTTTTGTTGTAGCATTTTCCCCTGTTCAGATCAACCTTTCACAGAGCAGTATAGTAAAATGCAGCTATACGTTTTATGTTACAGTTCAGTAAGCACAGAAGCAGACCTTGTAGCTGAACTTTTCTTTTACCTTTAGAAATTATTAAAATTGTTTTCTCTTTATTTTAAAGATGAAAACTTAAAATTAAAAAAAAAAAAAAGGCAAAAAAAAAAATCCAAACCAACACCAAAGACTTTAAAGTGCATATGTTCGTATGCACACATCCAGTAGAAATCCCTGCATTCCCAAATTCTCATGCCTGTTGGCACTGCCTTGTGTTTGAGTTGCTGCTTCTGGCTTTCTTGGCCTGATTCAGTACTGGAGTGGTGAATGGAATTTAGGTTCCAACCAGTAAATGAATTTTGTATCCCTTTGGCTATTTCCTTTGCTACATCTTTCCCGTGAATACCTGCTTTTAAACTGCAACAAGTTGCTGTGAAAGAGGTCCTTCTTCTGGTGGCAGTCAGAACAGCATGCAGAGACCAGCAGTTGCAGAAAGGAGCATGAGTGTACAGAGAGCCTCATTTTCAAGTTTCAGCAGTTTTTTAACTGTATGTTTGTTTAGACACTACTTTCATTTATAGGATACCTGCTTTATAGGTAAAAATATATAGACTATAACTGTAAATGTGTTTCACTGTAGAATCTTTTGACGGTGTTGGCTATTGGAATTATGGATTTAGGGTCTGTTGTGAGTGACGGAGAACTGCAGATTTGATTAGCTGAAGTTAATTTATGTTCAGACTGCCTGAGAAGTAGGCTATAAGAACAAACAGAAGGGGAGCACCTTTCCTCTGAAAAGAGTAGTAAAGTTCTGATCCCACTGAAGTCAATGGGATTTTCCTGGATTTATTTAAATTCCTACTCCCAGAATCCGGAAATCTGATCATGTTGTCTGAATCCTTGTTGTTTGGAAATGGCAGATGTATAGAGATGGTGAACGAATGAAATGATGTAATTTTTCAAGTAAATCCAAATTGTCCTTTTATTTAAAATGCATCTCTCGCTTTTGCATTTGTGAAAAGTTGCTAAGAATGATTTTCAGAATTTTGGGGGGTTTTTGACAGTTTAAATTTTACTGTCACTTTCAAGCTGCTTCTTGATGGGGTAAGCATTTTATCCAAAGAGAGTTGGTCATAGGCTATATTTTTTAAATGAATAAATAAAAATCTGAAATGTTTGAAGGAAATTCCATCACAGTTTTGAGAAGTCTAATTCAAATTAATTGAATTGTCTTTTCTGTCAAGTATGTGGAAGCTCACATTATTGCTGTGGTAGTGTTAATTTCTCTTTCCTCCTAGCAGCCAGAAAGTATATCAGGCTCTGTTCAGTCTTCAGTATTGGGGAAAGGTGTAAAACACCGACCTCCTCCCATCAAATTACCTTCAAGTTCAGGAAGTAGCTCTTCAGGTAATTATTTATTGACTTCAGCGTCTCCTTTCTATGTGTTCTGCCTATTGTAAAATGACATGATATCCCTCTAGTAAAGACTTAATTAAAAAAAAAAAAATCAGTATCTTTTCCATGAAAAGAGCATCATTTTGTTGATTTCTGATTATATTGTTCACAAAATTGTATCCTAACAAATACTCGAGTTAACATGTACTCAGAGAGCAGTAATGTACTTTAATTATGCTTTTTCAGGTAATATTTTTAGTCCACAACAGTCAAGCGGCCATCTAAAATCCCCAACTCCTCCTCCTCCTTCTAAGCCTCCTGGTCTTTCTCGGAAACAATCTATGGATCTTAATCAAGTTAGCATGCTCTCTCCAGCTGCCATGTCTCCTGCGAGCTCTTCACAAAGTGAGTCACGACCTAAATTCTCCATTAAATCTTAGGCTTTTGCATATATGCTTCCTGAGATAAACTACTTAACCTGTGGAATGATGAAACTTAAGTGTACAGTGTACCCTAAATTGTGTAAGTTGTGCAGCTTTAGGCAGGTCTCTTGTTCACTGTATGTATTTTATGTTTATTGTAACTGTGTTCGTTTTTTCTGTATATATGTATGCACCCTCTGTGTATACGTTTTAATACATTTTATGCGATTAGTATGATCTCCTCATTTATGAAAGGCTGGTAGATGATGTGATGAGATAAGATTCCAAAGTGTAGATTTTTTTCCTCCAGTGTAAAAACAGTATGTTAGATCAGTTTGCCTTTACATAATTTAAGCATCTGGTTTTTTAAATGTTATAGGAGCTGGTGCAGTTGTATCTCTGTGTATGTATATAATCTGATCAGTCCCAAGGTGGTGATACAATAAACGATAAGATGATTTTTTAAAACACTCCTACACTGTTTTACAAATCATTGCTGATTGCAAGTGTGGTGGTGATGCTGCTGATGATAGCACCATATTCTCAGGTGTTAAAATGTAAATTTCAATAAGTGACATCCTAGTTTAAGCATTTTCACTAACACTGACAGGATCACTGTAATCATAGCTATAGATCATAAACGTTTTTTAAAATATGTATGCGTCTTGAGACATTTCGTGAACAGATTTGTACAAAGAGAAATCATAGATGCAGTTTTTCAGTTTTTATGAATAATTGTATACTGCACATTCCAGTATCCTGCACAGTACTATAATACTTTTTTTGCATTAAATAATTTTAAATCTGCATAGCTCAAAAGGTGTAACTTTTCTGCCTTCTTGTTTTGCACAAAGAAAAAAAAAAACTTACAAAAGTTTTCTTTCTAGCATATTTACTCGTGGTATGAATTGTGTAAATCTGCTGCACACAGTTGTTACTTTAAGGCTCTGGTCACAACAGCTGGACATTCACATTTATTTCCTTTCTTTCTGCAGGACATGAAAGCTAAAAAAAAAAAAAAAGCAAAAATCCACCTCAAGCTTTTGGGGGGTTTTGTTTTTCTACTGATAAACTGCGCTTACTGCATCTACAACAACTATAGCTGTACATGCTAAATTTAAGCAGAAGGAATTACACAGTAACTTTTAAAGATGCAGTATTATCCTCTGGTTCTTAAAAAAATATTTTTTTGATCAAAATTTGGCAAAGGGGAGTTTAGCTATCTGATGAAATTTAGAACAACCCCATGGTTATTGAAATAGTGTATGTTCTTTGTTGAATCTGTTGTTTTCCATGATATGTTTTTAACACGATGCTATTGTACAGGCAGTGCATACAGACTATATGTTTAACATTTTAGCACAAAAACATTAACTAGGTTACAATGATCACTAAGAAATTGTTTTATTTTTATTTAAGTATTTCTGAATGGAGTTATGACTTAATGTACGATAAATTGTGGAAGGACTTAATGGAGGATACAAGTTGGCGTATGGCTTAAGGAGTTAAGCGTGGAGAGTGGGCTTTCTGTGTGATTATACTGCATCCTTAACAATGAGTGCGTGCTGCAACACTCGTGTTGTGTAGAAATTAACACTTGCAGTCTGAAAAATGGAACAAATTGTCAGTGCTAAATAAGATTCCATTAACCTTATTATACAAAAAGGACTGGCCTTTTATAACGAACTAGCACTTTTTATTTTTCTCAATGAGCAGGGTCTGGAACTCCTAAACCATCTACTCCTACTCCAACCAACACCCCTTCATCGACCCCACACCCTCCTGATGCCCAGAGCTCAACTCCTATTACCCCTTCTGCCACCCCTACTCCCCAAGATTCAGGCTTCACCCCTCAGCCCACTTTGTTAACCCCATTTGCTCAGCAGCAAATGTCTCTGAGCCAGGCACTGCCTGTAATGACCATTCCTCTTTCCACCATGGTAACATCCATTACTACAGGAACAACCTCCACCCAGGTCATGGCAAACCCTGCAGGACTTAACTTCATCAATGTAGTGGGCTCTGTGTGGTAAGTTTTTTGTTATGATGGTTTCTTAATTGGCCCTGGGTGGGTTGGTTGGTGGGGCAGTGGAGAGGGAAAGGAACAGGACTGTCCAGCATCCATTAGGATGGATATTTTTCAGGATCTGCAATACAAAAAGGTCATTCACTTTGTAATCATAAAGTGAAGAGCCACTAGAAATGGTTTGTATTTCTAAAATACAAGGCATCTACTATCGCAATACCGAACAAGTCTATTAAGAAAATTGTGCTGTCTGCTTTTTGGATGCATATAGTTGAATCCCATAAGGCTTAACCTCAATTTAGGTGGATTCTGAGCTTTTGCTCTTGAAGTTTGAAAACTTTTTTTATTAATCAGGGAGGAAGTGGAATATCATATGCAGACCACTAAATGAAAAATGGAAAGAGACTTGATCTTAAAGCACCTATGAATGAAAGGTTGTACGTAAAATACAAGAAAACAACAAAGCTGTTTTCTAACAATTTAATCAAACATTGAGGTTAAACATTCTTTCATGTTTAGAACTCATTTTGTGGTTTAAAAAAAAAAATAAATGCTGCCATCAAGAATAGATTGTGTGGTATAACGACATCTGCTTTTTAGACTAAATGGAATTGTGATCAGTGTAAGATGGTCAGTGCAAGACACATAGTGTGCATCAGTGCAAGTGTCAGACACTTAAATTACTCATTGAAGGTGTTCAGCAGTTGATCACTGTTGATGAGAGATTTTTTTAATAGTGCAAAAAGAAAAGGCAAACCTGTTCCTTAACTTTTTGTTATGATAGTACAAACATTTTAAAGACTGTTGATCTTTCAGTATTTCTAGAACAAAAGGACCACTTGTATTTTATTTTCCGTAGAATATACCAAAGAAAAAAATGGCATATACCAAGGATATGGATTTACTCTTTGTTATACCCTAGGCAAAACAATTTTTTAAGTTGCCTTGATGCTTTATCCATAATCCTATTTACAGCAAACTGTTGATTTACTTGTCATGAGACAGAGGGCAAAAATTTAGTTACTCAGATTTGCTTGTACCACTGGGGTTTGATGTGTTGTCTTTCCTCTTCTACAGTGGAGCACAGACACTGATGAGTGGTTCAAACCCTATGTTGGGGTGCAACACTGGTGCCATAGCCCCTGCAGGTATAAATCTGAGTGGCATTTTACCATCAGGAGGTCTGGTACCAAGTGCGCTGCCCGCTGCAATGCAGTCTGCCTCTCAAGCAGGTTAGTGTGAATAAGTTGAAAAGCCACCTGTCAGATAGGGACAGTGTGAATACATATTGCGAGACCAATGGACGGAAGTGGCCATTGTGTGAATAGATTGTGTATTTGATGGCTGGAGCTTGGGAACAGCATAGATATTTTTGCATTCAAATTGTGATTGTTTGAAATTGATTTTGAGGAGTTAGACTGGCAAAAAGTACTCTAAACCTGAATTGTTTGGTATGCTTAGTAGGAAGTTTGAAATAAACTCCAAATTCAAACGCAGTGTTGATAATGATGACTGCCAGAAAAAAAGGCATGACTGAACTTAGAAAGAGGCATCACTTTTTAAATGTGCAGGGCATTTTATTCTATCACTGGTGCTGCTTTATTCTAGTAGGACAATCAATTAGTTCCTTATTGCCTTCAAATATGACTATATAGGTCTGCATGCCTCAATATTCATTGAAGCAGCATTTAAATTCTTAGTTCATTTTTTCTGAAAACAAAACAAAATAAAAACCCTAATGTATGATCATGGAATCAGAAGTATAGAAGAGACTTCAAGATACCCATCCCTTACACTGAAGCAGAGTCAAATATGTCTAAACCATACTGAACCAATATTTATCTAAACTGGCTTTAAATACCGTCAGTAAAGAAGATTCCAGTCTCCCTCAGTGGCTGTTTGGAGTAGTTCATTATCTGTACAAAATGTTTCCTTCTAATTGCAGTGCATCTCCTTAATAACAAATTAAATTATTTTTTTTCTCCTGTTTGTTGCAGACATGAAAAATAGTTGTTCACCCTTTCTCTTTACCTTCTAAGTATCAAACATGCTGTCGCGTCCCACATTTGTCTTCTCTTTCTGATAGGTTGTATTTTTCAAACCTTTCATAATCCTGTCACTCTCTTCTAGACTGTCCAATTTGCTTACATCCTTCTTAAAATGTGATAACCAAAACTGGACACAAGCCTGAGCTTGGCTGATTTACCACTGTGGAGCACAGCAGAATAAATGCATCTCATCTCTTTCACAACATTCCTGTTAACATTTCCCCAAATGAGGTCTGCCTATTTTTTATTTGTATTTTTTGCAACAGCATTAAATTAACATAAGAATGGCTTTACTGGTTTAGGCCAAAAATCCGTCCAGTTTATATTCTGTCTCTGACAGTCGCCATTAGAGGATACTTAGGAGAGAGTTTAAGACGAGGCAAAAGCGTGAACTGAAACATCCCCTGTATACGACTGTACCTCTTCTGGCAATCTACAGCTTTGAGACTTTCTCAGCTGAAGGCTAACCACGTGGATCTTTGTGCTTAAAATCCTCTGCTAGACTACTAGTCTGTGGATTTATCTAATTGGTTTTTGAACCCATTTATATTTTTGGCATCTACAACATCTTGTGACAGTGAGTTTTATAAATGTAAACTGTGTGAAGAGGTTCTTTTCTTTTGTGTGTTCTGTAGTTTGTGATATGGATGATTTGGATATGTTTGTGACTTGCTGTAACTTCTCCATGTCCTTTGTTGCTGTGTAGACACAAAGCTAGTTACAATTTTGTACTTGTTCATTTGTCTTTTTTTAATTCAGTGTTACTGATTTTTGGACCCTTTCTTCAGTTCCCTAGGATCACTTTTAATTCTGGTTCTGTCCTTTCAAGCACTATCAACCTTTACCAGTTTGGTGTCACAGATTTTTACATGCTACGCTGTCGTGCACATAACAGATAGGAGTAGTGCGCTGAGCTGTGTTGGTGGCAGACCTCTGGGGGGTTCTGTTTGACAGCCGCTGTTTTACTGGAGCATTTGTATCAGTGCTATACCCAACTCATAGCGTACTACATATACATCTTTTTTTTTAGCTTAGCTTCAAAGAGTGCCATGTGGAATAATGCCAAAAGCTCTACAAGTCAGATATTTGCCAGAAGCCCTTGAGGCTGGGCGGAGTTGCTAAAATTTTGGGTGGGATTGTTTTCTGTTAATGTTTGAGAAACTGAGAGCCTGTTACTTCATTGAGCCCTTGGACATTTCTGGAGTTACTGTACAAACAGTAAAACTTTTTAAAGCCAGAAGAATCCCTGAAGAATAACTGCTACGATATTCACCACATTCAACTTTCTGTAAATGCATTACCAGGTTATAGGTTACGGGGTGCAGTGTTTAGTAGTGGTACAGTTTTTCTTTCCATTTAGTCAGATGACTTTAAGTTTGAATCTGGATAACTAAGAACTTACCACCATTACGGAAAATGCAGCATTGTATTAGGTATAAAATTTAAACTTGACAGTTTTCCAACTTCCAAATGTTTAGAAATGGTCCCAGTGGAAAGGTGTATTATTGCAATACACATAATGTAATTAAGTAAAGGCTTCCTACTAATAAAAAGCTGTTTTCTTTAACAGGCAGCCCCTTTGGTTTGAAAAATGCATCAAATCTTCGGCCTTTAAATCTTCTTCAGGTAATTGATATACTTGGACACAATAATAATGATAATTTCTTAATTTTCTTTAGAGACGTGTTTAGTGCTGCTTACTGCATTGCCCCTCCAGACATCTTTGAAGCCGGTTGGTCAGGCAAACTATTTACCGCTAATTTTAATTCCTTATTTAAAACAGTTAAAACAAAAGAAAAAGCTTCTTCCATAAAGATACCAGGTGGAAACTATATTCTTAGCTCACAACAAAGCAGCTAGCTCTCAGTAACAATCTAAAAATGCTGACATTTGAATTCAGATTAATCCTAAAATACAATCTTCTGTTTTCAGGATTTGGCTAAGCTTTTACTGCAAATCATTCTTCAAACTGAAGTTTCAATTATTTTAAAAGTACAAAACAGTACAGTAGAATCACTCAGGGGTTACACATACAAGGCCTAAAAGCTGAGCTGAACATGCACAGGTAGCAATAGCTTTAAAGCGCTTCTTTCAACAGAAATAGCAGTTTGTGTAAGACAGAGTTTAGAAGGTCTGTAACTGTTCCCTTTCCACTAAGCATACATACGAACGTGAGCAAAAGTTGCTTATTAATGTCAGACCTCCATTTAAAAGCGGAACAGGGAGTGTTTGTGGATCAGGGTGTAGTTCCTGGATCTTGAAGTCAGCTGCAAGTTACAGGTGCAGAAGTGCAGCTTCAGTGTTCCACAAATGTTGCACCATGCTTCAAAAAATTAATACCAGTAAAAGATGAGCCATAGCTCTGTAACTTCCTCCTCCCACTCCTGTACACACTCCAGAAACATGGAAAAGGGCAGGCACAGGAGGCCATTATGCCAGAGTAAAGCTCTTCTATACAATTTAATGCTTGTGTGATTCCATGTTGAAGTGCATCCTTTCAAGCTACCTCTGCCACTTGTATAAGCCAAGAATAATTTGACTGAAATCAGTGCAATTAAAGCTGGGGCAAGGGAGAGGGATCAAGACTGTTTCACTTCAACATGGTTTTTTTGCATCTGACCTCACGGTCTATTGATTGGAAGCATCTATTAGAATTCAGTGGAATATTCTGAAAGTGAAAATAATATGTAGTGCTTCTGAGGACTAGCCTTTACATTTCCAGTATCAATACAATCTCTACTTTTTTAATTAGAATAATAAAAATGTATTCTTCTATGGAAATATCTTGCTATAATTAAGTGCAGGTTTGTCTTCTGAGCATAAGGCTTTTACACAAACAGCAGCAATGGAAAACTGATTCATTTTAAAGGATTAAAAAATAAAAAAAACCAAGCCAAAAACAAACCTCCCCCAGGTGTACATCATTACCAATGTCATGTTCATCCTAGGATAGTGGGAAACTCAGCTGTGTGATTGAATTCTGCCTTTTATTTATAATCTTTAATAACTTCCAGGCAGTTCACTGATTTTTAACCCACTCCAGCAGCAGCAGCTGTCACAGTTCTCTCCACACCAACAATCTCAGCAGCCTACAACCTGTAGCTCTCAGCAATGGGGAGAGCAGGTGTGTGCTAACAGCCCTCAGTCTGGGGTGCATGACGAAACAGTTTCTCCTATTCTCCCCATCTCCACCAGTAAATGAGTACAGAGGGGGAGGAAGGACTTGCTTCAAAACCTCAAACTGCAAAGACTGCAGTGGCTTTGTGGCCATGGCTGGAGCTGGGTTATACTCCTTCATTTATATCCCGTATAGAAGAGCCATAACAAAACAACTGGCTAAGCACTGTCTTTCTCTAGCATGAAGAGAGCCAGCCCACTGTACAAGCGGTGTAAAATCAGCGTAGTGTTGTCCTGTTTATCATAACTAGCAACACATCAGATGAACAGAGAAGAAACACGATCAGGATTGCTGGAGTAGCTAAAACTTCTTACACTGCTCAGAGTTGGCTTACGGTCCTCACTGCAGTTGTTCAACAGAGCTGTTCTCTTTGCACCAGAGAAAGTATCAGTTGGCTCTAAAGGTGTCGTCTGAAGACGCTTGCTCTACTGCTGCCCATAATTAGTGTTAAATGCTTCGATCACTGAAGAAGTCTAAAGTCTTGACAGAGACCTGTCTGTCTCGTCTCAAAAACAACAAATTTTGAGTGGTTGGTTCTACCTGTGCCTAAAAAACTTAGCAGCACTAATGCAGCAATTTGGGAAAACTAGCTGCTCTGCTTTTGTGTTCTTTAACAGACATGCAAGACTTCCATTTACCAAATAGTCTCTGCTGGATACTCAAGTTTGTCATAATTTTGCTTGTGCTACTGTAGACTGTTCATAAATAATATGCCTCTTTAAAATGTTTTTATGGTGTATAGTCTCCTCTGTCACAGGCCTTTTTCTGGAATGTGGTACAGGTTAATGGGACACATTCAGATTTATTCTCAGAATCCAAATGTCAGTTACTGATTGAATTACTGAAAAAAAAATTCATGCAAGCTCGTACTATTGCGTTTTATTTTCTAGACATTGAACTTCAGGGGCATTTACAAAAAGGCAGATGTAAGCCTAGTCCTTCTTGTGGCAGAAGGTTCTTCTGGAGGGAATCAATCTCTGCATTGCCTAACTTGCCCCAGGGATCTTCTCTCATACCACATGCTATAGAGTAGGGCTAGGGTCGTGAGCTAAAATGAGTTATTAGGAATTCCAGATTTCCTAGCTTTCCCTAAGGACAAGAATGTACATGCTCACAGTGCTGTAATCCAAGGAAAAAACTAAGCCCAAAAAGACCAACAATTTTGCGTGCTGCCAACAGAATATATTACTTCTCATCTCATTTCCCCAAATGTTGGTTCTATGACTTTGTAAGTCTTTCTTGGTCTTCTTCATCAAGATGATGATGATGTCTTCTTAATGTGCAGTCTTCTGGTGAAGTTTACCTAGATCTTAGTGGCATTATTTCAAATTTTTTTTCTAAAGAAGCATTGCAACTCCTGGAAACGCACCAGCTCAAAAGCTTTTTTTTTTTTTTTTCCCTGACTGATAAGCTGTGCAGTTTGCTTGAATCGCATATATAATACTTCATTTCCCCACTTTATGAATCAATGCATAATTTACGTTCTAGAAAAGGTCATGTTTCAGTACCCTGTGACTTCAGTAGACCCTAGATCAGACTCCACTAATTCCATTTGAGTGATTACTGTGAGAACTACCCTGTTCTGAAAATCAAATTTTAAAAGCAGGGTTTGTGTTTATTATGAAATAACAGGTGAATGTAAGTTTCAGGCTTTTCACATTTTGATTGATTAGGACCTTTGCACATGGATGGTTTCAGGTGCCACCTGAAGACTTTGGGGTTGGGAGTGGGATAGGGAACATGGTAAGATCACAGCCATAAACTGTAGTCTCTGCTGACTGCAGGGAAGTTGACAACTACATGGGACTTCTGCTGGCTAACAGGCCATTCAACATCTGTTCATTCTACTTTAATAGTGCCTATGTTATAGCCTGTATCTACGCGCACTGGAAGATGTAGAATTAAATGTTTTTAAGTGCTACTTCAAAAGTTTGCCTTCACACTAGCTTTATTTACTTACTCGTTGATACCAAGGTTTGGTAATAAGGATCAAGCTTTTCATTTTTGCTAGGGGTCTGACCAAGGTCCATCCAATCAAGATCAGGCATTATCTGCCCAACAGGCTGCTGTAATTAACCTGACTGGAGTAGGGAATTTTATGCAACCTCAAGCCACAGGTATGTGCTTGCTGAGCCTCCTTTTGTAGTTAAGTGTGTATCTTGATAAATTCACACTGAAATGAAGTTTGGTCTTGGAGAAGTCTTACATTAAATCAGAAAAATTTACTGTTATCAGCACATGACTCGTATAAGAAATAGTGAACTTCCATAGCATGGACTTTTCTGCTTTGTTTGGCAGTTAAGCATGGTAAATTCATAATGTGACACGAAAATAAGCCACACTTCATACAAAAAGAAAATACAGGGAACTTCCATGCCAGACTTCATTGTGGAATGTTTCTTCAACTGTGTGCTTAACATCCAGTACGAGAAACCTCTTTGTGCCTCCACAAGCACTTCATAATCTAATTATGTTCTAACTAACAGAGTGTGTATATCATGTACTTTATTCTGCGCTGTTTCCGATTTGACTCTGAAACTAATTCTATTGATCCCCCTTTTCTGTTACACTCTCTTCCTATGTCTTCCTTGCCCGACCCTGCCAAACTCAACCCGACCTCTTTGACCTGCCTGCTTTCCCCTTCTCCTTTCTTAGTGTTGTCTCAGCTTGGCTCTGCCGTGAACAGACCTGGGCAAAGCCTCCCTCAGCAGAGACTCCAGCTCTCTTCTGCCTTGCAACAGCAACAACAACAAGCCTTGCAGCAGCAGCAGCAACAGATACAAGTAATCCAGCAACTTCACCCTGACTGTGTTTAAAAACTGAAATTAAAAAAAAATTAAAAATACAATTCTTGGCTCCAAAACCCAAAATCTTGCCCCTTTGGCTTTTTTTTTTAAACTGATGTCTTTATGGTCCCGCAAATGCAAAACCTATGAATTTTGGCAAACTATATCATGAAACATTTGAAATCTGTGGTTCTCTCAGCTTGGAGCACTGAATTTATTTTTATTCATTCAAGCCATCCACCTTCCTGATTTGTTAACATTCAAGGAGTGCTTGTGGCACATACCTAAATCAGCTCTGCCAGGTGCCCATGGGCTTCAAAATGGGATGAATGTAAGCACCTGCCAGTTCAAATGTAGCACTGCTACAGTCAGTACGCAGAAGCAACTGCTCTGGCAAAGCATTCCTTTAGCATTCTGTCCTTCAGATGCTTTATGAAAATGTTTTAATGTTTTTTTAGCACACAGTCTCCTCTTTGTGATGCATACAGCAAACACGTACAGTGCATACACTGAGAAGGTACGTTAACAGTGTACTATGTAACCCAAACATTGACTGAAGTTGCTGAGTTACTGTAATGGAGAAAAAGGGCAAAGAAACAAAGCTGTCCAAGTAGAGGTGTAAAATGTCAGATACGCCCTCAGCCGGCTTCTGTGCCACTGGTGCTGCTTGACTGTACTCATTGCCCCAGTACGTGGTGTGTTCCGTTCCCCTTGTCAACCCCCTGCTGCCTCGGTTTTTTTCTTTTCATTACCCTCCTCCCCCTTCCTGTCAGTCTTCCTGACATGAAACACAGCTTTATCGTCAACACTAACAAGCTTTTTTTCCCCCTTTCTTCATGGTAGCAGTTGCGATTCTTGCAGCATCAAATGGCTATGGCAGCAGCAGCAGCAGCGGCGGCGCAAGCAGCTCACCTGCGTCATCAACAGCATTCAGGCAGCCACTCAAAAAGTAAAAGGAAGCGAGGCACACCGACCCCTCCGAAATCCTGAGACTTGCCTTTCCCCACTCCCCCCCGCCCCCCATAAAAAAATTGATTCAGAGGGGAGTTTTGTTTTCAGATTAAAAAGGAGAAAGCTTAAAAAATAAATCAGTGTTTTATATTACTGGTGGAAAACGAACTTTTGACGTGACACTGAAATAAACGACCTTGGAGATGTCATCTGTAAAGCAGCTAGGGTCTGGTTTCCTTAAGTCACTTAATTTTTTAACAGAATGTTCTATCTTGTATTTTTTACCACTTGGCAGCATTGTACATAGTATAAGGGTGAAAAACATTTTAGAGAAAATGAACTTTGTAAATGTAGTATTGGTATTTGTTTATTTAGTATAAAAGGTTTGTGAACACTGTAACAAATACAATTTTTACAAATCCATTTTCGAAAAGATCTCTCCTTTTGTTCACTTGGGCTTTATACTTTTTATTACTTTGTCTATCAGCTTCTTTACTTCTTTGTGTCTTGTAATTGCTCTGGTGATACAGTCCTGAAGCTTGGCTCCTGTAAGAGGACTCCCACCTAAAAATTGAAAGGGAACAATTTGATTTTCTACTTATGCTTCAGTTAAGTTATCTCTAAACGTGTTTTCCACAGGGGAGTATTAAGTAACACAATCATTCTCGTGGCCACCTTCACCCAGGGAGCATACAGCTTCCCCAACTCTACCCTCAAGCAAAGAAAACAGAGGCAAACTGGAGGTGTAACAGGGGACTGCTCAAAATCTGTCCTTGGCCACGTGCAGGTCAAGCTGTGACTTCTTTTTGAACTCGGGATAGGTCGTTCAGCTGGAAGGTACCTACAGCTTCAGTCATGTCACCCTTCTCAAAATGAATTTCAAGAGCAAGTCATCTAAACACGTACTCAAGCATACAGCTGGTTACCATGAAGCACCCACATTTTACAAAGGAAAGCAGGTAGATAACACTAGGTCAGGAAAAATTATAATCTCTGTAGGTTCCTGCGTAACAAACTTGGAAGTACCTGGTTTGTGGACGGAACACAGTCTGCCTTCATCATCAGTTACAATAGTTACTGTTCCAGTGGCCAAGTCTTCTTCTTCAGCAGTTGGATCAACAATGAGCAACGTGCTTGTGAAAGAAGAACACACGCAGAGGTGTTCGTTAGCAAGTGCTGCTCCATTAACATTATTACAAAGCACACGTAACTAACATTCATTTTTACTGTAGTCTTACAAAATACTTGTAGGTGGATTTAGCGCTCGGGCTTATTTGTTTTCTTAACAAGATGCACCAATTTAAAAAAAGAAAAAACAAAAAAATAATGAAGGGGGAGATTCCACATATTCGCGTGCGTATGTCTGCTAAAATACCCGCTGTTGAAAATACAGCTTTGTGCCCAAGTTCCATAGGTTTGTGACACTCGTGTATTGGCAGAAGAATGCCATTAAACTGCCATGTGCAATACGCAGTCGCATACTGCATAGTTACGCAAAGAAAAGGGCATTGGCTTTAGGTGTCGGCTGCACTGATCTCTACTCGACTTCAAGGCAAAACTTATTTCCAATGGTAAATTCACCAAAGGAGTTCTCAATTTCTTGTCAGAGAACTCCAACACCACTCAGACAGGGAATAGTTCAAACATGGATTTACTGGGTTCATTAAGGCAGCCCAAACAAGCTGTTGTACATCGCATGATGCAGATCATTAAAAGAGATTAAATATTGGTATTTTTGAACCATCTGATAAAGTTAAAAACAGAGCAAACCAATGGAAAAAAGAGGATCTAAACTATAAGCCAACTTTGCACAAGAAAAACTTGAACTTAAAAAAAGCCAACCACTGTTCAGCCTCAGTTTCTTTAAAAAATAAAATTTAAAAAAATCACTACCATTACAAACATTTGGCTGAAGAGCAGGCATCACATCAGCAAAGACTTCAGCTGAAGTTTGCATGAAGCCTCAGTTTACATTGTTAAACTAAAATTTAGTATTGATATAATCAAACTCAATTTAGCAGCCGGAGTACACCTATGCTAAGTGATGTTTATGATCAGTTTGAGGAGGGGGAAGTCAGTAGAGCAAGGCTGTAGGAGTTGATTACACAAAATAGATGGAAGGGTAACAATTTTTCAATTTGAACTCATATGCAATAGATAAGTTAAAGGTTTTCTGGGTAATTTAAAACTTCACCGACAGTTTCAGATTGCCACTTAATAGCAATAGCGTAAAGGAAACATCAGCCCATAGCTATGCTACTCAAAAATAGCGCTTTATTCTATCGCCCACTCATGCTGTACAGCACCAGCCCTTCGCACAACACGGGGACCTGGCACACAGAGAGTTCGATCCATCGGATTTATTATTTATGCACAGGTTGACTCCATGGGAGCCAGGCGTGGAGCCGCACAGGGCTCTGCACCAGCCTTCCTCGCCCACAGCCATGCTATCCAGCACCCAAAACGTTTTATCTATTCAAGGAGGGCTTTTACGCAGAAGAAAAGTGTCTCTGGAAGCCAGAGTATGTATCATTTAGAGGGCTGCATCAACAGCTGTAGAGAAACTAATAAACTGGAATTAAAAAAACCCACAAAAACCCCACACGACACAGGCACACACAAGCATGCACCCCCTCAATATTTAGTTTTAGGATCTCAAGTCAGACTTAAGTAACTTGTCCGATGCAGCAGTCGGTTTCAGTGAAGGGAACAAAGCCCATCAGGCTGTCACTGAAAGCTTTCGTCCAAAGGCAGCTCTTTTTTGTCTGCTGGTCAGTAAGTGTGATTTGTGTGCAAATAACAACCTACCGACAAGGGTCTGCCCACCATGCAATCTAAACTCGGTCTACATCAAACTTCAGACCCACGAGAACTGGTATTAAAGCAATTAACAGAAGCACTCTAAAGTACCAATAACTTCCTGCTTTGATTCATTTTGGTAATCACTGGGTCAACATTTGAGTTCAGTGTTCCCCCCACCCCATCTCATATTTGAATGAAATGGTCTGCGATTAATGTGCCATAGCTCCCCGACGTCTCTAAATGTGCCTAAATCTTAAACCAGATTCATAGCACAGGGAGCATCATCTTATCTGTCATTTTCTACTTCTCAAAGGGATACCACCACAAATAACTGCATTTCTTACGAACAGCAGCAGAACACATCCTTAACATACTTGGACTAATGAAGAGCCAGTGAACAGGTGAGGAGTCAAGCTACCAGATGTGATTATTTTGAATTCTCGCCATCAGATTCTTTACCTACATGAATAACTAGTTTAAGAGTGCTGGGTCAGACTTCATCGTGGGTAATTATGTTTTCAGTTATCCAGAGGGTCTGATGTTCTAACTGGACCATTACTTCTTACTTCCTCTCTTGACTAAATCCTTGGAATAAGCTGTTCAAAAACTACCATCCTTTGTATCAGTCATTTACATAGGCTTCTAAAACATTCATTGCATTGGCAACATGCTTTCATCTCAAAGATACCGCAAAAACATAAAACAATTCCTATTCCCGCACTTTTAAGCGTATCTTTTAGGTTGGGAACCGGTTCTGCTTTAAGTCACTGGAAGAAGTTGGACAGACTTCATTTTGTTCTGCATACTCATTCACACCACAGAACAACGGGGCAGCTCAACAAGAGAGGCCGTGGATTTAAGACCGCATGAAACAGCACTGCCTGAACTGCACGTTCTTCACTAGCAGAAGCGCATAAACCGTGCAGAAACATCACTGGTAGCGTCCTCTGTCTTTCACTTCTTTTACATACACAGTTGTCTGCTTAAGTACAAAGCAGTTAAAAACTTACTCATCAAATATAGCAAATGATGTGGCAACTGGATGCTTTCTGATAATCAAAGGATTCTTCTGTTTTAAATTAACTTCTGATAAACCAGTTTCTTCGTTTATAGTAACTGACGGCAGTTGTACTGAAAAGATGAAAAAATGACAATGGTATAATATTAAACATTGCTGGGTTTAGTAGGCCTAGAGATGCCCAAGACTACTGAAATACTGAAGCTGTTCCTTTACCATATTGGTAAGCCACTGAAAACAGATCAGAATAGAGTTTTGGCTACATTACCAGTGTTCTGTACAAAAAAAATTTCTTGAATTCGAGGAAAGCATTTAGCTTAGAACGACCCATTTGAGAAAGTATTCTCCTCAAGCTAACGTTCTTCTTTACACAGAAGCCATCTTCTGCTTCCCAAATGCCATACAATTACAATACCTTTAGAGTCATATATTTAACAAAAAGTACTTTTCCCCAAAAAGCCTACTGGACATATACAAATCCATGCAATCTGACCTTCAGATTGCTCTTGCTCTAACTACCCATACAGTGTTGGAGACAAGAAAATCAAGAGCAAAGAATTCAGAGGCGAAGGCAGGCAATTTGAGTTGGAAAAGGCGGCCTTCCTGTAAGCTTCCCTTTGTACTGCCTCCTACATGCGTTTACAGCCCACGTGCCTGTGAATCATTAATCCCTATGTTGCATGCATGAAAACAGTTTTTTCAAACTACACAAAGGCATTAAGCTAGGAATACTCTGTTGTGACAAATAAGCAAAGGCCCCAACAACTTATTCTGCCTCCGCAAAATACATTAACAAGGTAACACTGATCTAGACGTTAAAGTTGTTTGTAACCACTGCTGAAAGATTCAGATCTCTGACATGGAAGAACACGTGGCAGAGCAGCTGTTAGTTTTGTAAGACAGCAATAATACACATATGAAAAGATCCTACTCCCCGGGTGTTACACACCTATGGCATTCCTACCATCACTTCCACTTTGTGTTTTAGTAATTTAGCATTCAAACGACAGGAAAAAAGCAGTCTTAAGGAATTGTGAACCAGCTACCTACTCATCTCCATTCAAAACTAACATATTTCTCCGCAACGCTAATCAGAATGCGTCTCTTGCTCTAGAGAAGACTTACCATTTTTTAATGCTGCTAACAAAGCAAAGGTGCTGGCATCCAAAATGTTTCCATCGTAGTCCAGACATATGATATCACAGTATAACACCCAAGCAAGCTATCAAAAAAGGTTTGCACATGTGAGATACTACAGCAGCTAAGCAAA